CTTGCAATTCACTGATGTCATTCTGTACATCTTAAAGATGAACAATGAGAGTGGGAGAAGCTTGTGATGAGTCAGGAGGACAGCAAGCCCTGGGCTGACTGCATGGAGGGCAGATATTCCTGATTTGGGTTTCACGTCCTGGCTGTGTTTTTATACCTCTTCATGGTGGAGCAAATCCAGATGCTAGTGGGAATTACCCAAGATCCACGGCGAAAAGTGCAGATGTATGTCCATAGGCCTTCCCCCATCCCTCTCCTTGCCTTCAGATACCAACAGACTCCCCAGAATCTTCTCAGTTTACCCATCCCTGTCATAAGCTGGTGGATGATACCTGGGAATCCAGGCTCCCAACTGCTCCCAGGTGCCTGAATTAGTTGTTGTATCTCTTAGGGGTCAAGGGGACCAGAGAATAGAGAAAGAGGAAATATGGAAGACCTAAGACTTACTCATTAGTTTGAAAAAAACTAGGAGACCACACCATGGGCTCCCGACATAGCCCCTACTACAACTTCCTTATCTTACAACTGATCCTGTCCCTTTGCCATTCTTCTGTCTTTATGGTCAGCCTCTTGGCACCAGCTCACATTCTCCTTTACCTGTGCTTCCTAAGTACTACTTTGTCCTTCTACCTTCTACCTCTTACCTTCTCAGGTAGCACCTGAGTATTACCTTCCGTGTATTACCTTTGTCCTGCCTCATCCTACTCACACATCAACCTGCCCTGACCCTCTAGGTTCCTGTTGCTCGGGGCTGGAGTATCTCTGGCCTTTTCTTCTGTGAGGGCATTAAAGGAGATCAGTCTGCCCATCTGCACTTTTTCACCGAAATCCACCTTCCCTTTTATACATGCCATTCCCATCCTGACCATTTGGCTTTAAAAAGATAAAAACTAGTTCTCTAACATCAACAGTGCTCATGCACCCCCCAGTCAGCAAATGTTAGAGATCTGCTGAGATTTTAGTGTCCGTCGCCAAGAAATTTTATTTCATGCATAATGTATGGTGCAAAAAGAAAGTGGGGGTGTTCCTTACCTGCACTTTACAGTTTCGGATCCTCAAGAAGTTAAAGTTTACCTGTACTTGTTGGTGCTCAGTCTACACTGAAAGAAAGTCTGCACCATTCAAAATTGCTCCCAACCATAAAATTCTGCTTAAAGATGTTTTTCTTTTTTAATTGAGGTAGTTAGGTCAGATAATAACCATACAAAAATGTTTAATGACTTTTGTTCTGATTTATTAAAAGTAAAGTTAAATATGCATTAATTTGCTCATTAATCTCCAAGTTTAGGTGAATAATTACCATCTCTATGCACTAACTTGAAATTTTATAATTTTTTAGTTCCAAAAGGAGAAAAACCAAGTTGTTAAAAAGTTAAGGGCAATGTAAACTTCACCCCAATTAAATTATTTTCACTATTTCTAGACGTTTTAGGTGACAGGCTTTTAAAAAAATAAATGTTACAAAAGTATAGTTTTATATTTCATAAATCTTAACTATTCTTATAGTATAATAATATTATCAATATTGGGTGATTGGAAGCAACATATTTGTTATGTAAAACAAGACTATATTTCTCACAGTAATTTCCTTATTGAACATAAATATAATTTTCCCCCAGCAAGTCCAGAGCACATTCTGGCAGGTTAGCCTGCTTTTTGTCATACTCTTATGAGTATTTTCCAAGGACAGTATATATTCCTTGAAAACATGATTCGTGATGACTATACGCTATTTGATTAAATGCTGTTCCATGAGTTTATTGCTGACTCATGAGATTTTGGTTGGTTCTTATTTTTTCATATTTAAAAATTGGCATTATGGTTTCTTGATTTATTGAGATCAAAACTTGTTTTTCCCTGACCTGGAAGAGTAACAATCAAGTTAAGACCAAGTTTAAATATCTGCTGCTGGATGCTTCAGTCCTTTGGTATTTGTCTCATGGATGGCATGAGGAGCTTTTGGCTTTAAGTTTCCTGACAGCTTTGGCCTACTGCTTCTTTTCTTCCTGACTGATACCCTGACCACCTCACCTCAACTGGGCCGGGATGGATAAGAAACAGGCCCAGTTAGGCTCCAAGTGGCCAAGACCAAGCTGGAGGTGAGGTTCAGCCTGTCTTCTTGACAGCTCTGGGCCTTCTTTTCCCATTGGATAGCTGGCTTCCCACTTCATCCTTAGATCAGTCCTCATCTGATACTATAGTGTGATGGCTTGGTTTCTTTTACTTCTAGTAGCTGCATAGACAAATCTGATATTGTGATTTATAATAAGATATAGATGTTTGGTCTTTGACCCCATTCCAGGTACTGAGCTCCTAAAACCCCTGGAATTTTTTAAGTGGTAAGAGAGAGAGTTGTCTTTTGTTATGTTAATGAGGGGGCTGTTTGGAAAGCGCCTAAGGATAGGAGCAGGTTGTCTGGAGACAACCAAGTAATTAGAAGGTTGGAACACAGTCCTACTGGCCCTGACTTACAGGGAGGGGAAAGGGGCTTGAAATTGAGCTCAGTCACCAATGACCAATAATTTACTCAACCATGCCTATGTAATGAAGCCTCCATAAAAATTCAGAAGGACATAGCTCAGAGAGCTTCAGTGTTGGTGGACACATGGAGATTTGGGGAGAGTGGTGCACCTGGAGCGTTCATGGAAGCTCATGACCTTCCCGCATCTCTTCCATCTGTCTGTTCCTGAGTTACACTGTTTTATAATAAGCCAGTAGTCTAGTAAGTAAAATGTTTCTGAGTTCTGTGAGTTGCTCTTGCAAAGTAATTGAACTCAAGGATGAGGCTCTTAGAATCTCCAATCTATGGTCAGTTGGGCTAAAACACATATGACAAGCTGGCTGGCAGTTGGCATTTGAGTGGGCGAAGGGCAGGATCTTGTAGAACCTAACCTTTAACTTGTGCGATCTGACATCATCTCCAGGTAGACAGTATGAGACTTGAGTGGGATTGTAGGACACCTACTTGGTGTCAGAGAATTGTTTGGTGGTGTGGGGAAGAAACCCACACACTTTAATTAGTGGGAATCAGAGTCTTAACTACCTAGACTTGTTTCCATACCACAGTCCATGTTGGGTTTTCACATTCCATCCCCAGAACCAGATCCTGACCTGGTAGCTGGGTCCTGCTTTCTGCTGAGGAGATCCTTAATACCCACAAGCCCTGTCTGCCTCCCAGACCTGGAGGGCTGTTCCTTCACACACTGTAATTGACTCCTGTATGCTAAACTCAATATTTTTGGTTTTTTCTCCAAATGTCCTTTTTTTGAAAAGCAGAGCTCTCTTCCAATGTCTGCAACTGCATCCTTTCTCTAAGTGCTTGTCCCACGCTGGTGACGAGGATCAGCTTCTCCTATGAGTCATCACCTCCTTCTGATCTTGGCTCCTCTACTCTGTTGGCCTGTGACCCTGCCTCTCTGTGCCATTTCTGCATCTTTATGTGGAGACAATAATAGTCCTTACCTCATAGAGTTGTGAGATGTAATAAATTAATATGTGCAAAGAGCTTAGAATGCTGCCACAGAAGTGTTTAATGTGTCTTAGCTTTATTATCTTGGAAAATTTCTCCCCAAGCTCTGTTAGCACCAGTGATGAAATTCAGGCTGCTCTTTCCTCGGAGTCCCTACTGCAGGGATGGACAAAGGCAGGTGGGAGAAAGGTCTTGGGCTGCGGCTACTTCTTTTTCTAGGACACTGCAAATGGCCTAACAGTCCTCCTGCCAAATTCAGAGCCAGTGGTCAATTGGGCTTCCCTTTTATCTTATTTGAAGCAACTTAATAAAAAGAAATACTGACTTCTGAACTGTACACAATGGGACTGTAATAGGTATTTGCTAAAGGGAACATTCCACGTGTACAAAGGACTTGCTTTGAGCTGTATCTCTTTAGTCGCACGTTCCAAACTGAATGTGAAGTAAGAGGAGGCTGGAAGAAGTATGTCGAAATTCAGTATATTATGGAACTCTCAAGAGGTGGACCACAGAAAAAGGAATGCTGACAAATTCATAGAAACAGAGTAGAATGGTGGTTGCCAGGGTCTGGGGAGGGAGGACGAGTGGAGGTAAATGGAGAGATATTGGTCAAAGGGTAACAACTTTTAGTTTTAAGATGATTAAGTTCTGGGGGTCAATAATCTCTGTAGTGACTATAGTTAGCAATACTGTAGTGTATATACCTAAAAATTTGTTAAGAGAGGGCTTAAATGTTCTCACCACACAGAAAAAAAAATTGTAATACTGTGAGATGAAGGATGTATTAATCTTATTGTGGTCATCAGTTGGCAACATTTATGTGTATTAAATCATAATACTGACTACTTGCTCTTATACATTATATGTCAATTATATTCCACTAAAGCTGGGGGAGAAAAAGGCATGCTGGGAATCCTTCACAGGTGGGCCAGCAACTTGTGATCAAATTTCCAAATTTATTGGTGGCAAAATCAATTTACTTCTGTAATGTCAGTTTAGGAGCACACTGAACCAAGCCCGGTCGATGATGTTGAGCAGAGCAGGTGAATGTATTATAAGAGGTCAGAGTCATAGCTGAAGATAATGGGCTAAAAACTAGGGTGGCCTCTTCACTGAGACATGTGAAAATTTGTCTTGTGACCCTGGAGGAAGTTGTCCCCAGGGCAGTGTACTGTTATCTTCACAGTCATGACTCCATATTGAAGGAGGACAAAAAAAACGAAGGGATGGTTTTAATAGAGACACTATGCTGAGCGTTGGCTGGTTCCGTAGTAACAGTTTCTGACTTGTTTCACTTTCTTTAGAGCCTATGAGTCCTTCATATGTGTGCCTAAAATTCTTGTGCTGAATGAGAAAAGAAAATAAGGTTGTCACTGGAAGATTCTAAAAATGGACAGGAAAGATCTTTCAAGATCAAGGCATATGAAGCCTGATTAGAAGTCCCACAATGCAGGTGACCAGCGTTGGAAATGACAAGGAAGCGTGTCAAGTGGAAAAATAACTGGTTAATTCCAGTCTTCCCTTTGTGCCAGATCTGAGGCATCACCAGAAATAGCAGCAGTGGGTCCTGGAAGCCGTGGCTGTCATTTGAATGGGACATAAACATGGGAGGAAACGGGGATGAGGCGGCCGGTTATGCCTCATCCCTTCCAGCCCCCCCTTACGCACACAGGAAGTCACAGCCAGGACTGTCATCTCTTCGGACAAAGGATGATGATGTAAAAAGAGTCTGAAATGTAAAGATGGCAAATACTCACCATTAAGTCATGTAAACTGCCTGCCTGACCCTTAATCGTGTTCATTCTTTTGAACCTGAACATCTCATCCTGTAATTTCCTTGGTCGTATAGCCCCTTCTATTCCCTGGAAATAAGACACACTTTCTTTTTCCCCAGCTTGGCCCCGCAAGAGTTATTTTAGAAGGCTCCTAAATCCAGTTTAAACGTGAAAAAAGGGAAGGTCTTTGAAAAGAGATATTTTTGTTTGGTGTCCTTTCTTACAAAAATAAAAGGCATCAAGGTAAGCTAAACAATGGACTTAAATGTTGCTTTGAGAACCTGCTTATTCTGATAATATAAAAGTTGGCTCCTCTGTGTCCTCACTTCAGTATTGATGTTTGCATATGCAACACATTTAAATTGTTGGTCTTTGTTAGCTATTCTTATGCATAATTTCTTCGACCGCTTTTTTAAAACTTGATTTCTCTTACATTTAGAACATCATTCACTAACCCCAAATAAGTTAATAATAAATGGAAGGTTTTGAAGCTTTCTTCATAAATATCATTAAATTTTTTTTTAAATTGCTTTTTTCTATATATGCCCCTTTTTAGGATTTTCAGAATGCTTTTACAATAGTTGCCTTTGATAGAGCGTTCAAAGCAGTAGCATCTAATATGTTTTTAACATCTGAATTCTTGCAGGTAATTTTCTGGATTATTTCCTTTTCATTCCTTTGACAACTTAATGCAGGCAGCCCTTGCTTTGTGCATGCTTTGTTAACTGAAACTCATTTGTATCAGAGCCATGCAAAGTGAAAGCTGTTATATGTTTGTTGTTTTAAGGTCATCAGGATCCAAACATCACTTTTAGGAGACCAGCATGTCTTGGTATTCTGATAGCAGTGTCATTTTTCTCTAAAATTATTAGAAATGATTTAGACTGCCTTTGACAGATATATATTTCCTCTGTTAGTACCAGCCTCCGGCTACTTTCCCAGTGCAGGACAAACACAGAGGGCTCTCTGTGCAGTTCAGAGTTCCCACCAAGGGGTTCAGCTAGAATTCCCGTCCTTGGCCAAATTCTTCCCAGTGTTCAAGAAAAGAGCATGGAGAGTTTCCTCCGTGACCCATAGTCTTGTGGGTTCCCAGCCACTGACATGGTAGCCAGTTACTGCTGAGGGGCCCAGTGAACCTGTGCCACTGTCTCCAAACACTCCTTACCAGTAACCTGCCACCCATGCCAGCATGTCCCGCTCTCTTGACCATACTGCACTCCCTAGTTCTCATGCCCTTGGCAGTTTATTCAAATGGAAGATAGTATTAGTGTGTACCTCATAGGGTTGTTTCAAGGGTGCAATTAAATGCCTACAATACACTTTGCATTTTGCTAACACACAGTAAATATTCAGTGAGTGTTAGTAGTTATTACTGCCCTATAGAAGATAATTCTGAGGCTTGAACACATTCTCTTATAAGACATTAACTTTCGCTTTTCAAGAGCAATTCGAAACTTCCATTCTAATCTGATCCAGGCCACTGTATTAGTTTTCTGCAGCTGCTCTAACAAATTACCATACATTTGGTGGCTTAAAATAGCATCATTGATTATCTCACAGTACTGGAGATCAGAAGTCCTACAGTACAGGTGCCACTTAGGGCTGCATTCCTCCAGGATGCTCATGGGGAGAATCCATTTCCTTGCCTTGTCCAGCTCCTAGAGGTTGTGGCATTCCTTGGCTCATGGCCCCTTCCTTCGTCTTCAAAGCCAGCAGAACAGCATCTTCACATCTTCTCCCCGCTCTCTCTGTGGACTGTCTCCATGATTGTATCTTCTTCTGTGACCTTGACACTCCTGCTTTTCTCTTCTCAGGAACTTCGTCATTACATTGGGCCAACCCTGACAGTCCATGATAATCTCCCCATCTCTCTATCATGAGATCACAGGTATAGGGAAATAGGATGTAGATATAATTGGGGGTCTGTTACTCCATCTACCACTGCCACTTTTACGGTTTCATTTGATTTCTCATCTTTAGTAAAAAACAAATTCTAGGTGACATTGATGTTTTGAACTTAGCCAATTCAACTCTCAAATCTATTCATTCCTAGGTTTGTTTACACGTTACTATGTATCAGAAATATCCAGACAAAAACTTTGGCAGACATTCTGATTTGGCTGATCCATCACCCATTTCTAACACTTTCCTCCCTTTACTGCCTCTATTCTAAAGTCCTTACTTCTTTGGAATGGCCACGTGGCACAATGTTTTTCCAATGAGATAAAAGTAAAAATCTTAGGCGAATTTTGAGAACCTTTGCTTGCATCATTAAAAAGGACATACATCCTCCCTTTTATTGGATGCAGACCTGGATAACTGGAGCTTCAGCAGCCTTCTTGTAATCATGAGGAAAAGGCTGGGCCAAGGAATCACAAAGATATTGGCTCTACCATTGCTGAATTACTGAAACAATTTCAGTAACCACCCTAGCAACTTCTGTTACATTACAATGAGTAAAATCATATTTGTTCTAGCCACTGTATTTAGATTCCCTCTTATTCATAGCTGACTAAGTATAATTATAGTTTAAAAAATTACCTAGTCTAACCATAAATGCCTCATCCTTCAGAAGCCATACAGAGGACTGACAAGAGTGGGAATAAACACTAATAATATTATAATGAATAATGAATTTACATGATTGTATGACAATTTTTAGACTTATTAATGGAAAACCCCTCTTTTGAGTCAAGTCTATAACTAAACAGAACCAGAAATAAATTGTTGACTAATGTAAGCTGGCCAAGAAAATCTTGCCAAATATTTTTCTTTTTAAAAGTATTTCCCATTTTTATATTTAATCTTAGCTCCTGCTTGCCCTTAAATGCCTTATTTCTATAATAAAAAACAATTTTCTGCCTTTGTTTACACTAGACTTGGTTTACTTCTTTTCTCACCATTGTTTCTCTTGGGTCATTGAGTTTTGTTTCTTTCAGTTCTGAAATGCCAAGATTCTGTATCACTGAAGAAGCAAAAACCTTTGTTTTTAAAGGCTAAAATTCTTCTCTCACAGGGGCTTTCCAAAAGAACTGAATGGCGTACTCAGGAGTGCAAATTATAGGGAAACCCCTTAGTTCCTCTCATCTCCCAAGAGCAGCCAATTTTCTATGAAGCATTGAATTAAGAATCTGTAGATTCAAAAAAGATATGTGCATATCTTCTGACCTTGGGAGGCTCTTAAAATGGGCCAGAAGGATGAGTGGTCAGTAGCATGTATGTAGGATCATGTGGAATTCAGGTTGCTTAGTGAGAACCAGAAAAAGCCTAGAAGATAAGAGAGGTGTTCAGTTGTCAGCCTGTTTTGGCAGAAGCTTTAATCTTTAGAGAAAAGTCTACAGTTCTATCTAAAACGCATTAATTAAATTTTGAGAACTGTTCCCAATGTAATTTTCCCAATGCCTGAAAACTCATGGAAAATTTTGTAATTTCAGGTATTTCAGCCTCATGTGTAGTAGGAACACTTCATAAATATTCATATATATATGTGTGTGTGTGTGTGTGTGTGTGTGTGTATGGACCTACATATCTTTTAAATTTTAAGATATTGATTTTTATAAAGCACTATCAATTTAAATACAGTTTTTGTGTGTGTAAGAAAAAAGGCACATCACATTGAATGGACCAACTAATTCTCACGCAGATTAATTTCAGGGAGACTTAAAGTATGCAAAGCAAGAATTTTAGTCTTTGAAGGAAAATAGTTCTTTGGGTTCCTTTGGAGAGATCTAAGTTCAGATTCTTCATTTTGAATGAGAGGAATGTGAGCTATGGTGATGGGGGTGGGGTATTGAGGGCCTGCTAGAGAGAAATGCCAAGAAAATTAGGAGAAAGGAAAGATCAGATCATAACTTGATTGATATTTACAACAAATGTAAAACTTGGTTATCTTCAGAGAACAATAGAATTTCCTGTATAAATTTTACTTATTCTGACCCATTTGAAGATAAACAGGGCTTGCCCTTGGCAATATTATGAAAAGATGAAGACCTTTTATTAGCTCATGGGAAAACACCCAGGAAAATCAGGAATGTGAGTTTGGGTTCTAAATTACAATTAAGTTATAGTGTGACAGGAGCACGTTGTTTAAGCTTCCTGGCCTACAATATTCTTTTTTGCAAAATTAGCACAATAGACTCTTCATCTCCCGCAAAATAGCTGAGCCACTAGAAGCACAGAGACATACTTCTTTGGGATTATCCAGTGAGTCGTAGGCTGGAGTGAGATGGGGGAGTTCCCCTCATTGTAGCAGAGTGGTCTTAGGGCTTTGGCTGTTGAAATGCCATCTCTGGGCTGAGTGGGCAGTAGCTCTGGGGTCAGGAGCTGGCACCAGACTCCCATCAGCAATGTTCACGCTCCTTTAATGACAGTCCCCCAGGCAAAGGGGCTGATGAGGAGTGAGAGCAAAACTCACCAAAGACCACAAAGACTAGCAAAGGCTGAAAACAGGTGAAAAACTTCACTTTCCAGTCTGCACAGCAAGGACAGGTGGTGAAAGCTGCGTAGTCCGTTTGTCCCTGCCTTCAAGCCTTAGCCTCCTGCTTACCCTGTCTTCACGGTCCGTTCTAGACAATAGTAAGCGCTGTTAGCCTGACTGAATCTCCCAAGTGATAGAGCAGTGTGTAAGAAGAGTTTTGAAGTCAAACTATCACTCTTCGCAGATGATATGATACTATATGTGGAAAACCCAAAAGACTCCACTCCAAAACTGCTAGAACTTAAATTACAGGAATTCAGTAAAGTGTCAGGATATAAAATCAATGCACAGAAATCAGTCGCATTTCTCTACACCAACAACAAGACAGGAGAAAGAGAAATTAAGGAGTCAATCCCATTTACAACTGCACCCAAAACTATAAGATACCTAGGAATAAACCTAACCAAAGAGGCTAAGAATCTATACACAGAAAACTATAAAGTACTCATGAAAGAAATTGAGGAAGACACAAAGAAATGGAAAAGAAGAGTTTTGAGATGACAAAGTGACCAAAAGCTGAGACAATATAACAAATTGAAAGTAGGGGAGGAAAATCTGCAAACGCAAATGGAATGAATCTGAAAATAGTGAAAGGAATTGTGGAGAACAAAGATTTATCAGAAAACCCAGGCTGACCAGTGTCCTGTGCCATGCAATCAACAATGATCCCATGCTCTTTACTTATAAATGAATAGACTTGAGGAGGATCCTTTAGAACCTAACCCAATC